TTTAATCCAGTAGTTTGTTTTCTTACTGTTGAGTTTTAAGAGTTCTTTGTATGTTCTGGATAATAGCCCTTTATCAAATGTGTCTTGCAAATGTTTTCCCCAGTGTGGCTTGTCTTTTCATTCTCTTAAACTTATGCTGATTTTTATATTAGATTTTGGACTTTTTCCCTAATGGTTTGTAGGAGTTTTTTATGCATTTTTTATGCATTGAAAACTAGCTCTTTGTCAATTTTACATATCACAAATATGTTTTCTTCATTTGCTACTTGGATTTTAATTGGTTAACATTTTTCCTGAGCAAAATTTTCTTTATTCAAATACATATAATCGTATAGATGAATCTTTTCCTGTATGTTTTCTGCATTCTGTAGCCTAATAGGTCACATAAGGATACCTTCCTTATTTTGAGGCTTCAACTTTCTAGGCTTGCTTCTAGTATTTAAAAAGAAAACATTTTTAAGTACTAAATGAACCTGGACTTTGTTTGGGTATACAATTGAAAAAGGGATACAATTCTTTTTTCCCCTTCCTTCTTCCTCTTCTTTTTTACGTGGCAAAGCAATTGCCCTCCAAACAAAAACAAATTGATTAAATTATATCTTTTCTCCCAACTTGGAAATGCTCCTTCACCATTGGCACCATACTGCAGGGTTTTAGGGAGCTTTTGTCTAGACCCTTTTCTGATCTGATTATTCATGTGCTAACATAAAATTATTATTATTCAAAGAATAAAATGCATTTAATTATCTTGTGACACTAGTCTTTTCTCTCTACTTTTATTTTTCAGAATTTTCCTGGCTTTTACTTATTTTTCTCTTGTTAATTTTATAGTAACAATGTAGGGACAATTGATATATTTATTAGATGTTCTAGATAGGCACACATTTACTTTTGTACTTTCAAAGTCTGGTATTATGTGCAGAAATTTTATAATTAGGTTTGTTAACAGAATTTTTACTATTGTAAATGGGATATTTTAATTTTTTGTGTCCATAATGTTTAGCTAATTGTTGTTTGCATCTAGGGAATATATTGATTTTGAGATATTATCTTTGTGTCCATCCACCCTACTGAGGTATTTTATTGTTTATAATATATTTTCAATTGAATATCTTGAGTTTTCTATAACATCTGGAAAAATCTTAATATTCCCACCTGTTTTCCAATTTTCATTTCTTTCTCTTTTCAGCTACATTGACTAATACTTACAGATCAATGTTAACAGTGAAGATAATGTGCAGTCCTGTCTCATTTTTGACTATAAAGGAAATGCTTCTAGTGTTTCAGAACTGGGTACTAACCTGGTCTTTGGTTTGGTATCTCTTTGTCTCTCTTTATAAAATTGTTCTATATCAGGTCTTCCAGGAGGACATTATTTCAGCCTCCTCTACCAGAATATTGGCCCTGTGCGATTTCAGTCTGTGGATTAAAGTCTTCCAACTTCAGAAAAGTCTTCTATTATATTTTGGGGGTTTTGTTTTATCTTGTTTTTTCTTTTTTCCTGTTCTTTTTCTGGTCCTATCTTTAGGAATCCCAGAATTTTATATAGTGATCTCCTTTCCAGACCCATCATCTTTTTAAAAAACTGGAGTTGATGTTCTTAAACTGTTCTCCATCTCACTGACTCCTCTTACCACCGAATATTTTCCAATTGCCGTTGCATGTAATGTGAATTTATTTACTTGTTTTATAATTCTCTTCCGTGTCTTTTCTGAGCTCTGTCAAATCACTTTTAAAATTCTATTTTCTTGACTCTTCTTTGAATACTAAAATTACTTCTGGTTTTGATTCAGAAGACCATGTTCTCTTTAATATGTTTGGTTTCTTGAAGAGCTGTCTGTTGGAACTTTCAAAATAACTCTTCACCTGGGGTAAGACTCTATTCAAGCCTGGCTGAAAATCACTGGTTCACAGGGAAGCCCCCTGTGTCATGGTGTGTGTAATGATTTAGAATTCTCTTCCACTGGTCATCAAAACTTTAATCCCCCAGTCCATCAAACTAATAGTCTTTTCTTGGCAATAATGGCATAGTGAGTTCCCCTCAGTGTTATTATGCCATTCTGTTTTCAGACAGAACACAAGAATGCTTCAGCAGCCCTTTCACTAACACAGACCATGCCATCATAAAACATGCCATTAACCTGGCCCCTCAGAAGTTTCAGGCTACTCTTAGAGATTTTGAGTGCTCATGAAAGCTATAAAGACATAATGCCCCTTTAACTTTCCTCCTCAGTTAGATCTATTTAATTTATAGATTGAAAATTAATCTATAATCTTCTCTATCAATTGTGGTTTGGGACTATGACTGTTTCCTATTGTCATAAAAGATGGACTTGCATTCATGTTTTTCATTTCTTTCTGCTTGAAAGCAGAAAGCATGGGACATCTATCATCTTTAGCTTTGAAGTTCTAGCAGCAATTCTACTAAAATTATTTTTATTTGCCCTATGAACTGCTTCCCCAAGATTCTTAGGTTTATTTAGATAAATTCATTTAGTTATTGTAATAGGACTGTTTTAGCCTTACTAAATGACTTTTTTATCCTCTTACACAATAAAATTGTTTCTGAATTTGATATAAGATGAAGCACTTTAATCATCAAGTCTTTCACCTGTGGTCCTGTTCTTTGTTGGAGCTATCCATCCATTCTTCACTTTAAAAAGCTTCACTGGTATGGTGTAATGTTTGAGAAAAATGTAGGCAAAATACCTAATTGTTGTATCTTCTTTACTAAGACTAACTTTCTTAATCATATATATTTATTCATATTATTCTTTTTTTTTTTTTTTTTTTTTTTTTTTTTTTTTTTTTT